AAGCCTGCTGTCCAAACCACTGTCATGTCAGCAGTCTGCAGACCTGTCTGGACATCTTGGTGCTGTTTGAAGCCATCAGTTTAGCTGAGATAAATGAAGAGCCACACATTATCAAGCATGTCAGCTTGCTCACTGTCTCACAATTATTTTGAATAAGGATTCCAATCCTGAAAGAGCCCTGGAACAGCTGAGAAGACACAAGGTTTATATTTTGCTCATGGCAACCTAAAAAAAAATTCTACCCAAGACTCACAAATCTGTAATCACAAATGTCCATTGTCTTAATTCCAAATCCAAGCACCAACACCTGCTCACAGGTGCACATGAAATCACTGTTGAAGATGCCAACCTTTAATAGCCCTACATTTTAGGCATGATAGTACTCCAAAGAGCACCATGGTCTCAGTACCAGGTGGGGTTCAATTAAGTGCCACAGGAGAGAGTGTCTTGTATCAATCAGAATCAAATTGTCCTCTGTGTTATTAAATACATGATATCTAACATGACAGGGTCAGGAAGAGTGAACTGTCAGTCAACATAAATATAAGTCCCCTCTAAAAACTAACATACTGAATCAATTTGTGATACAGAATCGTTTTGTGATAAAACAGAAACAATAAAATTTGATTAGAAAGGCTTCAGGTCTCACTACATATTTAAAATTCTGTTTTAAAATGCAGTTACCTTAATAATGGCCATGGATAGAGGTCTTTTCCACTTCAAAAACTGTAGATTTCCATATTCATGGCTTTCCTATCCATACCTTTACAAGACTTGCAATCCAAGGAAATTAAAGGGTTTGCTGATATAACACAAAGTGAAACTCAAATCATATGGAAACCATGTGACACAGTTAATGATTTGCTATCTGTCCTTCTAATGATTGTATTATAAAAATTGTATTCTAAAAGTTTTATAGAGAAGTCCCTGTTAATAATAAATACTAACTTTAACAGATTATAAATTTCTCTTCAATAAAATAATTTAACAATTTACTTCCTCAAAGTGAAAAATAAAAGTACCACTCTGCCCCGGTATGTTTCTGTATCTGTGTATTCATTTTCAAATTTAGACTTTAGTTCATTGGACCTGTTGAGCAAAAGTCAATAGATATTTCTAGAAGCACAAGTGTATGTGTGTGTGATTATATGCAGATGTTTACTTATATATTTTTTTTTTCATTCATTTATTTGAACACCCGTGCAAATATCCCAAAGATTTATATAAAAAGAACAATCTTTTTGGCTATAATTAAAAAATGTAGTACAATGCACTTATAAAAAATCCCTTCAGTGCAATGATGCATGAAGAGACTGCATGTGGCCAAGGATAGGTGATAAAATTATTTTCCTCTGTAAAACTACAAGTGTTTGCAAGAGTCTGCTCCAGCTGAGCTGTTGTTAGTCAACATGAATTTTTTTTATGCATGTTTAAAACAGCTGCAGAGTACAAGGCACAGGTGTGATCCTGCCTCTATGACTGTGCTACACAGGATGGTGCTCACCCTCAGTCTGTAGCTTTTCTAGCTCTTACGACAGGAGGTACAATCCTCAATGTCTTCATAACAAACATGATATCAAGCCTTGTCATTTTTTGTGTGCCTTCCTGCTTCTCCCTTACACTTTAGAAACACCCTAGTCCTAATCAGTCCTTGCACTCCTTGAAAGACCATTTAGTCAGCCAGATCACAAACTCACTGCTATGACCTTTGTTATAATTTAAAAAATTACAAAACTCTATGGCACAGAGGGAGGGGCAAAGTTTGTGTGCTGGATTCTTGGAGTGTAAATCAAGCAACCTACAAGATAAATTACTGGCTGGATGATTTATTTGTTTTCTGGTTAAACTTGGCATCAAAGCAAGCACAATTCTAAATTGTGACAAATCTCCTATGGTATTTGGTATGTATCCTTTTATTTGCTTCCAAATGTGGTAGGAAGGACCCTTAAAGTATTTCTAGGCATTGATGAGGCTTCTCCAGACTGGACAGTACCAGCTCTTTCAGCCTTTCCTTATTATGGAAATATCCCAGTCCCTTCATCATACTCCCAAATCATCTCCCACAAACCTGCTTATGTGACTATTTTACATTCTCTACACAGTGTTGCCCCTCCATGCAGGAATCTTGCAGCCCATGGCCTTTCTCTCTGCAAAATCTGCTTCACTTCTTTTTGGTTTAAGGTCTTTTTACTTATCTCTGTACCTGATAAAAAGAATAAAAATATAATGAAACAGAAAGGAAAATTCTGCAAGTAAAAAATCATCTTGAGATATTCATGTGCCAATAGCTATGAAGATCAGTCTCTAAAGACATTTTTTATCTGCTATTCAATTGATTATGACTAATTATTGCAGAATTACATCCTTGTGCTATTCTATTAGCTATTACACAGCCACAGTGGAGAGGCATTTATCCTCAACATTTACACTTAAAATGTGAAAAAAAAGCCAAATGCCAATACTCAAAGACTCCTTGAGTGCTAAAAATCCGAACCTTGCTGGATTTTCAGAAATTAGTCTGTGTCTTCTGTATCTCATAGTTGTTATAAAATTAATCATTTTATATCACCAACAATCTAATTTTAGGTTTATTTATTTATTATTTAGGAAACTCACCTGGTTTTGGTTTTTTACTGGTAGCTTACCTGCTTCAGAACATTTTTCCCCTCAAAAAGGTAACAATGCAAAACAGTCAGAGAACCAAAAGAACTTAAAGGTATACATTCATCTTTTCCCGTATCACATCAGAGCATAATAGCAAGACTTTCACTACATGCCTATTAACCTCTGTATTATAAGAGAAACAAGAGATTTTTTAAACAGATGGGCTTGTGCAGGAAATGGAGATGATCAAAGAACCTGTACTTCGCTCTCCAAATGCATCATTGCTGCCACCTACAGATAAAACAATTCACAGCTCCTGCCTAACATCAGAAAATGCTTTACTACAGGACAGCAAGAGTAGTAACAAGTATTGCCTGGAGAACAAGTCTACAGCTCCCGAAGCATTTCTTAATTTGAGGGGGGAAACAAAAAAGGTCTTATGTTAAAAATAATGCTTTTTAACTGAATTATAAATGACATATAAAATAATATCATTTTAGAAACCCTCTCTAAACATTCAAAACTTTCTTAAAAATAGAAAACCATTTAAATATACAACTTTGCTTAGGTAGAAGCTTTTTCTAATGACCAAACTAAACTTTACCTGAAGACTGAAAATAGGTTGAATGTACTAATAGCTATACAAATATGCTACAAAAATAGGATAGCATAAGAGGGTACCTCAGGATTAGGTAAATTCAGGTTGAGTCACAGTTTCTTACAAAAGAGCATACAGGCAAATTATATGGGGAGAGACTAGAATATTGTGTGTTGGGTTTTCTTGATTATTTCAACAACATCTCTGCACGCATAGAAGTTTCTTTCCTTTGACCTGAAACATCCCTTCTGTTGTCTGTAGCTTTAATGAGCATGAAAATAAAAAACTAAATGTAATGGGTTTATATCTCAAATAAGTAAATGGTATCTCAAATAAGTAAAGAATTATCGGATAAATCAAGGAAATTGCTTGTAGGCCTAAATATACTGATTATCAGCATCAGTGGTACAGTTCCTGGCTGTGGTTTTATATTGCTATGGTCATCTTATAACAGGTACCACATGAGATTCTATGTACGTATAAAACAATCAGATAATATTTGAAATTCTAATATTAGCAAACTTGTATCACTGCAGTAATACCACCTGCTTCTATTTCAGGTTAAATTATGTTTATTCTTCATTTATATGTAGTTTAAGGAGAAAACAAGTCTGCCCTATTTTCTTTAACAATGTCACTTGAAAGGCAATTAATCAGGGGTTTCAGAGGAGACCCTGCAAAGTCAAGCAGCTAAATCTCAGCACCTTGCAGGATCTACAATGAATGCTGCTTGCAAACACATTATTTCTACGTGGATGACAGTGACACAATTTCACAAAGTCACAGAACGGCTGAGCTGGAGAGGGACCACTGGAGTTCATGTTTGAAGCCCCCAGCTCAAGCAGGGCCACCTAGAGCCAGATGTCCAGGACCGTGTCCAGATGAGTTTTGAGCATCACCAACGATGCAAGCTCCACAACCCCCCTGTGCCAGCTCTTGGTCACCCACACAGTGAAAAGTGTTCCCTGATGCTCAGAATGAACACCCCGTGTTCCCGTTTGTGACCATCGCCTCTGGTGCTGGCACTGGGCACCGTGACAGGACCTGAGGCAATTGCCCTGTGACAGAGCCTGGCTCTGCCCACTACACACCTCCTCTTCAGGTTTTTGGAGATTGTTTTATTAGCTTTTAGAGATGGTTTTTTAAGGTTTTTTTTGTTTGTTTGTTTGTTGGGGTTTTTTTGTTTTTTTGGTTTTTTTGTGGGTTTGTTTTCGAGGGGTTTTTTGTTTGTTTTGTATTTTTGGCGGCTTTGTTTTGTTGTTTTTTTTTTTAAATGAGATTTTCCTGAGCCTGTTCTTCTCCAGGCTGGACAGCCCCAGCTCTCTCTGCTTTTCCTCACAAACGAGATGCTCCAGTCCCTTAGAGGCCCTTTGCTGGACACTCTCCAGCGCTCTCCAGTTTTATTAAAAATGCTAAATCCTAAATAACTCCTATGTGCCGTGCGGGAGCATACGCAGTTCCTGCATCCCCTGTAAGTAGGCGCGTTCCTGGGATACAGAGAAGGTGGATCTGTCTCTTACAACAAATTTCTCTAGAAAACCCGGCAGGGCACGGACGTGCCTCTCACTGGGCAGCAGCGAGACACCAAGCCGGCACGGAGAACTGAATCCCACCGAGAACTGGCCGCCTCCACACGGGAGAACTTTATCCGACAGCATCGCCACAGTGTCTACCGTTAGCAGCCGGGCTTTACCGCACGCCCGGCCCGGCCCGGCCCGCCGGGGAACGGAAGGAGCCGCCCCACAGGCGGGCGGGAGGCGCCGCGGCCCAGCCCCGGGAGGCGGAGCACGGTCACAGAGGCTTCCGTCCTGCCATTGAGGCTTCCGTCCTGCGGCGTCGTGAGGGAAGCGGAGCCGGTGGTTCGGGGCAGTTCTCTGCAGAGATGGTGTCGCTGCTGCCACGCATCGAGCGGCTCTCGTCGCGGGTGGTGCGGGTGCTGGGCTGCAACCCGGGGCCCATGACCCTGCAGGGCACCAACACCTACCTGGTGGGCTCCGGGCACAGGTACCGAGCCGGCTCGGAGAGCGGGGCAGGGCGCGGCGCACCGGGCTCCGCTGCCCCGGGCCCTGCGCTGCCTCCAGCTCGAGAGGCCGCTAGCGACCTGTTCCCAAATCCCTTAGTCAGCGCTGAAAAGAGGAAAGAAACCGTACAGCGTTACCTTGGAGAGCTAGTGCTGGGAGGCGGCTGGGGTGGGTGGGATATGGAGTCTGGTCCGTGCCACCCTTGGGCCGAGGCCAGGAATTCGGTGAGGGAAGCGGGTGTGTACCTCAGGTACTAAACGGTGGCTTCTGCCACCTGTCGCGGAGTTGGAAAGGTGTGGCCTACATTTAGTACTTTTTCCACTTTTTAAATTGTTATGCTGCGGGGGTGGAATGCCAGGAGGCAAAAGGTGTTGTCTGGATATGGAGACATACACTATTGCTAAATTTCTATCTGTTGGCTTATTTTATTAATATTACTTGGCTGTTACATGAACACTCTTTATTCTCTGGTGTGTCTCTCCCTCCCTTTTGTGTGATCCATGTGTAGAAGAGTCCTTATTGACACTGGAGAGCCAGCTATTCCTGAATATATCAGCTGTTTAAAGCAAGCACTGTCAGAGTTCAACATCTCCATTCAAGAAATTTTAGTGACGCACTGGCATCGTGATCATACTGGTGGAATACCTGATATCTGCAAAGACATTCCAAGTGGTAGGCCAGAAGTTTCAGATATTGCTGAAAATGTTAAATACATGGCAAGAAAAACATTAACTGAATGCTTCTGTGCAAATCAACTAGATTATTATTCTGGAATTGCAGTATAAACTATATGCAATTTCACGATTCTGCTGCAGTGTGTAGATTGAGAGCAATGAATAATCTTAATGTAATAGCTGTAGAAAACTACAGGTTTTCTTCAATACCCGTGCATACTTTCATAGTGAATTTTTCTTATGTGTGAATAATGAAAACCTAGATTACTATCAGCATGGTACTAAGAGATGTGAGAAAAACTTGACACTGCTTCTGTTTTACTTGGACAACAATTATGAATTTATTGTTATTTTCACTTTTGTAAAAACAAATAGCTTGAATTGTTAAAAGAAGCCTACATAACTTTGGGATTCCTTAGAGGAGTCCATTAGTAGTTGCTGACAAATTCATAGGCCTCAGAGCACGAGGGGAAAGCAGTAGGGCAGTATGCAAGTAAAGTCTGACCTAAAAATGTGTATTCCATGTTGATAAACAGTAAGAGACATTTCTGTGTTGGCATCTGAGAAGAGAATAAGCAGTATGGATAATGTGGTAATTCTTAACATTGTTGGACTTTGTCACGAGCTTTGTCACAGGCTTAATTTTGTAAAGTTGCCAGGTGCTTATCTGCCATGAAGTCTGGGCACTACTGAAAACAGTTGGTGTCTTGGTGAGGATTTTGGGCTTGCCAGCCTATCAGTGTGGTTGGAAAGACTAGCAAGGGATATGAATGCCTTTCTGGGTTGCTATCTATGGCTGTTCCAGCCAAGGTGTTTGCATTTTGTGCACTGTTCAGAATGACAAAAGCTGAGAGAAGTTGCAGGTCAAAAGGTCTTCATCCAATCTTAGACAAATGTTGAGTGATGCTTCTGTGAATCATAAAGCAAAATGTGAGGGCCAAAATCTTGGTGGCATTGTAAAAACTTGGGGGAATTGGCTCATGAGTCAATAAGGAATATTTGTAAAATACAATAATAACTGATCTTTATTAATTTCATTTGTGATTTTTTTCCAACTTCAGCTCTGTCACTGGTACAGAGTGCTGTATTCAGGATCAGTGACTTTCACTGTTTAGTGGTTTTGGCTCTGGAATAAAGCTGCTCTACAAATATAAAGTTACTTTACAGAATTTGGTTTTTTTAGATTTGTATTCATAGTGTATGATAATTAATAGTACTTACTCAAAAAGTAACCTGTCTGTGGAATTACCTTTGTTAGTGACAAACTCAAAACATCATTTTTCTTGCTTTCCTTACATATCAGACTCGGAATACCGCATAAGTAAGCTCCCTCGTGTCCCTCACTGTGAAGAAACAATAGAAGGAGGACATAAATATTTTTATCTTAAAGATGGAGATGTGGTAGAGACAGAGGGAGCCACACTCAGGTAACCATGAATTTCTTCAAGTTCTTTTTTCTTCAGAATTCTGACATGTACGTGTATCCTGGTTTCTAATGATTGCCAATCCATACATCTAATCTTTTCAGCACTTATGCATGTAGACTTCCTATCATGATCCAGCAGGATATGTTAATACAAAGACACTGTTTTTATGAATGAGAATTATCAGAAATTAACCTTTGGATTTTGTCTTTAGACTCAGCAGAGAAATTAAAAATATTTCCCTAGAAAAACACTTTCTGCAGGAAAATCGAATAGGATTTTACACATTTTCTCATCACTCTTACATAATTAGTTACTCTTTAAATTGTGGAAGTCTGTAGTAGTCTGGCTGGATTATTTAGCATGCCTTTCTTTTTACTTTAAAAATACATCTCTAGGAGACTCTAAAACATTTAATACTTAAAATGTTACATTTTAGACCTTGAACCTGTGAGGTTCTTGTAGGGTGCTAGTTTTGGAGGACTTCTTTCTGTGGCATGTACTGTCTGTAATGTTAGTCTGAATGAGTGTGAAACAGAAAGCTGCTGTGCCTCATGGAAGCACACACACAATAAAAAGGTCTGACCATTCTGTTTTCAGACTCCTTTCACTAACAAGGCATTATTCTTATAAGGACAGAGTTTGCTTGTTTTCCTCATTTTAGATGAGAACTATATCCCACTTGTAGACTATGTCACTTGGTTGATTGCAAGGAAAAAACATTTAAAAAGAAAAGGGGTGTGTTTTGTCCAAAAGCATTTTATTTTATTAGTGTAAAAATAGAAGTAAAAAGCATTTTTCATTGCATACTGAAGGCCTTTCACTGCCCTAAGTGGCCCATGTCTGGACAAAAATTTGGAGATGGAAAATAATTTTTTTTAATTTCAATCCAAGTGAGTCAAAGATTAGCACATTTTGAAGTTTGGGACTGTGGAGGACCAGGCAGGGGCATGTTTTGTCTCAGACGTTCTGACACGTGACAGGGAAGTTGTGATTGGCAGGGAGAGTCCCCTGGAGAGGGAACAGCATGGTCCTGAGCCAACTGCCTTTTCTGCCTTCAGATTCACAGTGCCTCCACCAGTTCCCCACCCCAACTTGGAGCCTGGAGGGCTCAAACAGGCTGGCTGTGCTGGTGTGGGAGTTGGGAGCCTGTTGAGGGGTGTTGTAAAATACAGGACTTGTAGCCAACACCTGGGAGAAGTCTGTTGCGACATTTGGGAGCTTGTTGAAGTGTGTCCTCGAAGTGAAGGGCTTCTTAGCCAGCACTTCTGAGACCAAACAGTGGGCTTGTTTATACCAGAAAGCATGGGAGTTCCCAGACACATAGTCTGGTGTTCTTGTTGATCCTGAAGAGAATTTATACCAAACATCACAGCCCCTATGGGTGGGTTGTAACGGGGCTAATGCAGCCTAACTTTATGGTTGATTAAAAGCAGGTATTCTCACCTGGATTAATTCAGTAACCACTGGTTCCAAAACTGCAGGATCTGCATGTTAGATTTTAGTTAACAACTGTCAGGTTTTCAAGGTGTGCCACAGCAAGCAGCACCTCTCTGGCAGCACCTCTCCACACACTGTCTGGTGTTCTCTTTCTGCTATTTTTTTATGTTAGTGGTTTGGCTTCCTGGTGAAATTTCTTCAAGAACTGAAGGATACCATGTCCCAAAGGTGAGCCCATCAACTTGATTTTGATTTGCCTCCACAGGGCGATGGCTCACCTGCTTTCTCCTGAGCTCAGTATTCAGCAGGAGCTGGAAGTCGTTGCAGCAGATGATGCTGCACTCGTGGTCTCCCAGCCCTGCAGCAGCTTGGCTGGGAGCTGTTTAGCCTTGCCCTGTACACCACACTTGGCACCAGCTCTGTCAGTTCCTGATCACTGCTTTGATGCATCTGCCATTAGCGAGAAGGTTCTAATGAATATCAGCAGTGATGCTGATTGCAGTTGTGTTATTTTCAGTCTGCATCAGCCTCAGCATAAGGCCCTTCTGCTTTTCAGAAATCATCATGAAAGGCCACCCCAATGCAGCTCCTTGGCAGCTCAGGTTACCATATGCTACATACATACCCACTGTCCCTTTGCTGCATGCTATACACTGCTTGTCCAAGCTGTGGGTCCTTAATCCTTACCATGCAGGTGTTTAATGACCTGCACATAGAACAGCTGAGAGACCAAGGTTCTCTGTATTTTACAGCTGTGCTCCACTGTGCTATGGGGCTTTCAAGGAAAAATACTTTTTTGGAGGCTGAACTTTATCTGGGTGGGGTTCAGAAGTTTGTAGTTAATTTCTAAATGAAAGATATCATCCTTACCCTCCTTTCAAAGTACAACATGTATATCAAGAACTTCAAGTGTTTCAATCTGGAAAAAAAAAAGTCAATTTGATTTTTTTAAAGCTTCAGAATAATGCCCTCTATAACAGAAATAATGCATGGATAGTCAGCTCCTTTAATGTACTTGTTTTATGGTGTGTCATGTAAGTAATAGCATGCTAGAGATGATTGGTGTTCTTTAGATGGTGTAAGAAAATGGATTGGGATTAGGCAAGATGATACTTGTTTACATCAACTTTTCAGTGTTTTTTGGTCAGTTTTTTCTTGTTCATGTTATGGGCTGCTTTGCCAAGTGTATTTTACCATAATTTGTTCTGGCTTCAAAAATGAAGTATATATGCTGTATGAAAAACATATGCTTTTTTTGTTCTTTGAACAGAGTTTTATACACACCAGGACACACTGATGATCATATGATTTTGCATCTAGAAGAAGAAAATGCTGTATTTTCGGGTGACTGTATTTTAGGGGAAGGAACAACAGTAATAGAAGATCTGTCTGATTACATGAAGACTTTGAAAAAGTTGTTAGAAATGAAACCAGATTTGATTTATCCAGGTAAGTGGTTTTGGTTTTAACTGCTCCTTTTAACTTTGTAATTTTGTAAAAATCTCCTCTAAGAATTTGAGAACCATTATTACAATCAAGCATCACTTCTGATGTAACAATTCAATTTAATAAACAGTAAGCTAAGCTGACTTTGTCATGGTAGTTTGCAAAACTTTAAAATTTTCAGCGATAGGTATCTTCCTTTCTTAAATTTCTCTATTTCAGGGTGGGTCTTGTCTTTCTGTGCCCAAAGACTCCAGGGGCCATAATCTTTCACTGTTGGAATCATACAGCAGATTTAATTTTCTTATATTACTCTATCCCTGTGCTTGGATGTTATCCTGGAAGAAAAAAATAATAGTTGTTCTTTTGTTCCTTTTCATCCCCACATACACTGTCAATGTGAGTAACCTAGCAACGTTTTTTGGGAGTTGTGTGTCCCTTGCAGTACAGATTAATCACAAAGTCATCTTGGAAAGCTGCAGAACTGTAAAGTGGTAATGTTAGTAAATGATTTAGGTACAATTTGAACAAGAACCAGGAGGCCAAAATGTTCTAAAAATAAGTTGTCTGTTCATTCATATGGATTTCCTTCAATTCTTTTCCTCTCTCTCATTCAAACATTGGGAATGCATTCACTTTTCATATATACCACATGTCTGTTTGACAAGACTACATTTTAAGAATTCATTATGTAACTACACTTTAAGCTCCTCATTTGCTTTTTCAGAACTACATCTCAGGATTTTTTTCTGACTTCTTCTGTTTCATCTTCAACTTGTCATTCCAGGCTACTGTATCTATGTTCTCAGTTGTGCCTTTTTCCATTAGCCATCTATGTTTAGCCTACTCTCTTGTGTTCAGTCTTAAAATAGCCTTCTTTTGAAGTATGTGTCCTTTAAGATCTCAGAAAAAAATGCTGTTTAAGAAAAGCATTCTTACATATTCCATAGATGTGGAGGTTGATGTAGACAGAATAGTGACTTGGTCATATATATTGACTTAGCTGACTTAACTAACCATTAAAGCTAACAATTTTTTAGCTTCCAGAATCTAAACCAAATGTTTTTATTTTTTTCTTAATACCTGCAAAATGCAGTCTGCTCCTCTAACTGAAGGAGCCTTCCAAAACCCCATATATGTCAAGTTCTGTTTGGTTTATCAATTTTATCTGTTGTGTTTCGCTCTGTTCTTAATGGTTTTGGATCTAGATTACAAATTCACCAAGGCTGAACATCTGTGCTCTTTATTTGTGTTTGCTACTGTTTTATCTGTGTTCTTACTGGACTTGCAATTAGGAAGCCAGTCTGACATTGTGTATTTTCAGTGATGATAGCTAAGTATTGAGATGGTTTGGAACTGACTTTTTTCATCCATGCACCACAAAATGTACATGCAGTTGTGCAAAAAGTGCTATTGCACAATCAGAACAAGTGGTGATACTGTTGGGTATAACTACAGCAGAAGTAGTTTCCTTTATCAATATATTCTATATAAGTCAATCACTCTGTGCTGCAGTATTAGGTCTTCATAATTCTTGAACTGTTTCCTCCACCAATGCTTCAGAACTCATGTGGTAGCCTCACAATTGCATGAATTTTTGTAACAAACTGACTGCTGGCTACCTGAGAGTAGGTGAATTTTGTCAATCCTTCCCCTTCTATATTTCTTTTTTAATTTAATGTGGGAATTACTTAGACACAACACTCGTGATATCTAATTACAGATAATATTTGATGAGAATCCTTGGAACAAGAAAAGGGCATTTTAGTCAGCAGAGGGCTCCCCATCCTGTAATAATAGACAATTTTCCTTGGTAGTACAGAAAAAAATGGTACCAAAATTAGGAATTTGTGGAAGATTTAATGAGCCAATTGTTTCCTTCACTTCTGTCCTTTGTGCTGTAATTTAAAGTAAGAGAATCTGACACTTCACAATGTGTTATGAGGAAATAATGTGAATCTGTCTGAAATTAAAGCTGAATTAATGGAAAGACAGTCATATTTTGAGAGTGCTTTTCATATGCTCAGAAACTTTTTACTTTTATTCAGCTATTAATCCATTTATCAATAAATAAATAAATAACTACTGCTGTCCCTGAAAAATAATGGATGGGAAAGTCCCACATCTGGATTTAGTTCCAAGCTTTCTGAGATCATTTTAATGTACATATATGCATACACAACAGCTGCAGATCAGATGATGTAATGGAGATGAAGTCCCTTTAACTTTGCAAAATGTGGGTTCCATTTCAGGTTCTGGCATTGGTCTTGTAGTCTAAGTCAATTAAATCACTTGGAAGAGCAGGGCCAGGTTTTAAGGATGCCTTGGGATTCCATGTGCAACCCTTAATTTTGATTAGTTCAGTGAGACTTCTGTCATTAGAGAATGCAAGAGAATGGACAGTTAACATTACAGTCTCTGCTTTGTATCTATTACTATGTTTTTCTGAAATTTGTTTTAAGTTTTGAGTACATAAATGGTAACGGTAGAGATACTGTTATACTTGTAATTTATTTTGCAAGGAAAATAGCTTCATATTAAATATGTTTGAAATCATTAAATATAAATGCATATGCCAGTATAGCTTTATGTTTACACATTACATATCTTGTATTTATAATACTTACTTAAACAAGGTGAGTTTCTATGTATACTTAGTAATTTCAAACATGCTGAAATGAGTAAGTTGAGATGTAGAAATATTTTGCCTTACAGAAGGATAGATTCCTTTGACACTTTAGTTCAAACCATGAAAAATCAGTTGCTCTTTTTCTATAAGCTGTCTGTCGTCAGGCAAAATAAGCTTTGATTTTAAAAGCTTAAAAATTAAAAACCCATTTAATCAGTAAACCCAAAAGTACAAGTAAAGAATACAGTGATTCTTTTAATAGTTAGAGAACCTCAAAAGAAGCTGATTTTGATGATACCAAATAACTTCTAAAAGAAAGCTATTGTTTTTTATGGTAGTTTCTTTTCTACTAATTTTATAAATTACTTAGACTTTGCACTCAGAGGGCAGAGCTGGAAGTTCCTGCTGCTACTTCAGGTGAGTTGTACAGGCAAAGAAATAGGAAACCTTGCTATCAAAAGCATGTGATGAATGTTTGTGCAAGTCAATTCCTCTATAAGTAACACAATAAGTTTAATTTCCATGCATGTAACTCTCGTGGCTGAACAATATTTTCTCTGTCATTTTAATGTACTGTGAGACAGCATTTGATTTTTCATAAAGGTTAGTAATTTACCAATTAAGGCTTCTCATAATGTGATTCAAAGACCTTTAAGTAAGTTGAACATTTCTGATCTGCTACAGTCAGTCCAGGAAAAAATATGTTTTGTTTATTAACTAGCCAGACATTAAATGATCCACCTATAACTTTCCTGTGCCTTCTATTTTTCCTGCCCTGACACACTCCAACTGCCCCTTTTATTTGTTCTCTATTCATTCCTTTAATCATACTCACAACAGTGTTTTTAAAGGCATAACTTAGTGTGAAAATTTGTTTGGGAAAATTACCTGTTACAATTAAAGATGTCACCTTGATGTTTGCCCCAACAGGATGGGAGGTAGAGTAGTACCTGAGTCCTTTGCATCAGCCATTATTGTTCAAAGGCCAGTATCAGTTTAAATCATTAGTGTCAATATCCTTTGGGGAGAGGAAGACAGGCAAACAGAGATAATACAGTATCTAAATCTCATCTTTTAAATCTGTTCAGCAGTGAACTCCTTTCCTTTTTTCAAATGGCCTAAAGTAGTCTTCCCTTGCTTTCTTTATTCCATCTGAAGTATTCCCTTTTCCCCATTCAGACTTCTAATATCCTAATTTTTCCTTTCCATCTTAATTCTTTGCAGATGCAGACTGCAATACAGACATTCAGATCTTTTTCTCATGGCTTTTAAATCTACTAGAGTTAACATAAGAATGTTTCAATTATTCAATAGCATACTTAATTACAAATGTAAGTAATAGTGCTCTGGTACATGTGTTTTGATTTTTAGGTCATGGCCCAGTAGTACGTGATGCAAATACTAGAATCCAAAACTACATTTCTCATCGCCTTGCACGTGAACAGCAAATTCTGAGTGTTTTCCAGAAGAACACTGGGAAATCATTTACGTCCTCAGAGCTTGTAAAGATGGTATACAAGGTAATTGTTGATCAAAAGTTTTTAGATCAAACTAAAGAAAATTGAAGTTAGGTTCATAAAACTTGTATGTAACAGCAATGGTCTTTGAGTGAAAATCATGGTGGCTCTTTGAAAGGGATAAAAAATATTTCTGCCTGTTCAGGGTTCAATTATAACTGTGCCTTTAAGCACTCGTTTAAGCACTTCATTGGAGTGAGGCCCACATGATTCTTAGAAACTTGTTTAACTATCCAAGTCTTAGGCACAGTTTTGTAAGACTAAGTAAAAATTAAGTTGTAGTGCTTGGTTCAAAGTGAAAAGTATGACATGACTGTTGGTTGTGGATTTCCCAGAGTGTGTTTGGGGTCTCCTGAAGAATGGTTGAAAACTTAGAGTTCTTGATTTATCAGTCTGCAGGAGGTTACGGGTGAACTGCAGTTCCACAGCACAGAGAAGGATTTTGCAGCTCTGATGTTGGATAGCTTGTATGTGTCCTTAGACTGGTGTAACAGTACTTTGTTGCTACTTCATCATCCTTCATGTAACCTCTGCAATTTTTCCCTGTGGTGTGGGGTTACCCTCCTAACCAGTAGAGATAAGAGATACAGTATTTCTGCTTTGGAGGAAGATGTCAAAGTTGCCAATGTCTGTGGCTTGGGAGCTGGTCTGTAACAGCTTCACAGCTCATTTTTCATGGTTCTGCTGATACCTCGTTTCCGAAAGAATGCCTGCATCGTGGTGAACATTTTGCAGTGCTGATGTATCTTTACCTATGGCCATTCAGCTTCTGCAGTTCTCCTGCCTTATGAACTAGGTTTTAAGTATAGAGCCATTCTCCTGTTTCTGTAAATCACAAACCACTTGTTCTGTATAAGAATTTTTTCAGTACTATTACAGCTTTATAGTACAAAAAAAATATATGCTTTCAAAGTATTCTTAAGGTTCACAATTTTTTAACTAGTTTGCTAGTGACTTTTCCTGCCATACATAGTATTTGAAGAACTTTTTAATTTTCAAAAAAGGAAAAAAAGAGAGCTTTACCTTTAAGATGGTAGAGCTGGAGAGGAGGATTTTGAGCAGACATCTTACAATCATTAAATGGTTTGGGATGGAAGGGACTTTAAAGGTCCATCCCCCCTGCTATGGGCAGAGACACCTTCCACAAGACCAGGTTGCCTAAAGCCCCATCCACCTTGTCCTTGAACCCTTCTAGGGATGGGGCATCCACAGCTTTTCTAGGCAACAGGTGTTACTGCTTTTTACATAATGAGCATCGAAGAATTTTAAGAGATATTTTGTCCTCCTGAAGCTGTTACATTTTTTTATTATTTACTCACAGATACTAATTGCTACAGGGTATTTAAAGCTATGCAAATGTTGTCATGGAATAGAAAGAATAGTTACCTGTGGAGAAGCGCATTATAAATTTGTCTGTAAAAATACTCACCTACACCGACAACCCAGGGCAAACCAAGCTCAGAGGAGGAGTGCTGGCCAAAGTTTTCATCACACAAATGTATAATGCAAAAAATCTAGCAAAGTAAACAAAAATGTGTTGTTAGATCGCCCATTTAACAGGTGTAAAATTGATTTACTCATCTTAGTTTCCTGTTGTTACGTAACTAACTGAATGTTCCCTTACTGATTCAGAAGAGGAAAATCTGTGGTAATAAACCATTGGTTCCATGTATTGAAAAAAATAGTTGATGAGTATTTAAACAAATACAAAATGCATTTTTTTGTTCCCATTAGGAAATCCCTGAGAATTTACTTCCAGCAGCAGAACATAACCTCCTAGTCCACTTGAAAAAGCTGGAAAAAGAAGGAAAAGTGTGTAAGTTGTGGATGGAGGGTGGAAGGAGGGTCATTTTTTTTTTATGTTCTATGCATTATTTCTCATATTATTTTTGTGCATTATTTTCTAGGGGAAAAAATGCAATTTTTTGCAGTAGCTGTCCATTAGACAAATTAAAGTAGAGTAGTATGCACAATGATTGTACAGTATTCACAAGCTTTTAGAAAATATCTTACTGAGTATTTGAATGCTTAGAGCTCAGATTACTACAATGCACATCCCTTTAAATTTTTATTTTAAACATACCACAGAATACATTCCTAATGCTAGCATTAATACCTTCTTGTATTTTCTGAAATTCATACCTAAATATGCATGAATGTAGCATTTTATGGGTTTACATTTAAGTTTCTGCCTGTGCTAAATATTTTGCATATTTTTGTATATATGTGCTACAGAGATGGTTAAAATCATGCAGTGTAAATTTTTGCAATTACTGATTAGTACAGTACCTAAGTAGAGCTGCTGTATTTAGTTTAGTGTTTTTACATTGTGCCTTTACTCTTAGTGAACAAGGTGAAGTGTTGTTTCTGTAATGGCACGTGCATATGGAAACGTTACTCAGCCAAAGCTTAGGAAAATATTTCTTCCTGTACAATACATGACTGCACTCAGGACTGTCTATTTATAAGTAAATAATTACATGAATTTACAGCTGTTGCAGATTTTCACCATTTACCAACCTGAATAACAACATTAAATTAGTGTATTTTTTTCAACTTAGACCCTCTGTTTATCTTACTGATAGAATATCTACTAGGTACTAACTGAACAATTGAGACTGAAGTTTTGTAATAGTAATAACAACCTGCTTTTTATACAAGGAAAATAGGCTAGAGTTACATGAATACAGTCATCACTGAAGCTCAGAAAATGTTCTCTTTGGGCTTATTTTGTGCAGAATGCCATAGAAACTTTACCAACATGGTACTTACTGCACCAGCTTTTAAATATTGTCTCAATTCTTGGTTATTAACATACATCATTGATTTGTACATTCCTCCAATTTTGTTCCACCCGATTCATCAAGGGCATGAGGTGCTGTTGGCTGTTTATCCCTTCTTTTCACTCTCAAAGTAGTTCAAGCAACAGCATTTTCTGTTGAGATCAAATAGTGGATAAATTAACTTTTTCTTTAAAGCTAATCTTCCCTACAAGAATGTCTTCATTTTGAATGCCCAGGAAATAATCTGGTTGAGTGAGCTACTGACTTAAGGGTTTGTTTTCTCAAAACCACTCTTTTCATGTTTACCAAACAAAAATAACTCAGTTTTTCTCAGAAATCACATTTCAGTTTTGAAGAGAGAGCAGATATAGTCATGCATCTGTTCACAAAGTATCCACTACTTGAAATTATTAGAAAGCTTAAATAACTAGAGGAGATACTAGTCAGAATAATTATTGGGACTCTCCTACTCCAGTTGGAGGCCCTTGATTCAGATGTGCCTTGCTTTCCTAGAAGCACAAGATGTGCTCTTTGACATTTGTTTTGTTTTTTAAACTTGAATTTTGGGGCACAGAGAAAGTGAGAATCAATCTCATCAGAGCTCTTGGGATTGCTGAATTTTTAAATACAAGCTTAGGCCCAGACCTATGGTAAATGCTTAACATCACATGACCTTTACCCATTTTTCGGTTCAAATTAAGGGCATCTGTTAAGGAAGACTGATTCTGAGCATGTAGCATACAAATGCTTGTGTACTCATGGTACTTGCTCATTTGATTTTAATATCCTTTGATGCCCTTTCCTCATATTCCAAGACCTTGCAGTGTCTCAAGTTTTGTTCTCATTACAGAGGACTTGAGCTGTAGACATAACACTGTCTTGCTTAATTTTCTCCAAACGTTTTTCCAAAGGAACATCTCGTCAGTATCAATAATGAATGTGACAGGCATATTACAACCTTACAAGTGAGTTACTCACTGTAAATGATGGCCATATGCTGCCTGCTGCAGCCATTAATTACCCACTCAGTACTAGGGATTGCAGATTTTGTGGGTACATAACTTTTATATCTGCAATTGGGAGTGACACTGCCTCTTAGTTCAAACAAAAATGTTACTCTTCTTACTTAAAACAAAAATAATGTCTTGTAAGCAGGAGTGTGGCACAATGCACACGTGTAAGCTTTATCCCATGGTTGGTTATAAATAATTTGGTCAGTGTTTCACTTCATAGCTGATGAAGAGATAAAAATAATTTATCTATTCTTAATTTAAGAGCACAGATTTTTTCCATCTAAAGGTTATGAATTTCAGAAAATGCAACAAGCACTCTACTAGCTCAGATTTTTTGATACCTAGAAAGTTTAATATACCAAACTTGAAATAACTAGAGGATTATTAAGACCTTTTTATTAATCACTCTTTATGCTGCTAGGTTACATTGTGAAGTAGTTAATGTTTATCACCTTCAATTAAAAGTGAACACTGTCATGAAAGACAGTATTTCATTAGTTTTAATAATAAATGTCATGTGTAGACATACATATTCATGTACAGGTTAAGTTTGGGATAATCTAATATTTATAAATAAAATCTCAGTATTGGTTTGTAACTAATTTGGTTTCTTTTTCTTAACAGTACGTGATGAAACTCCCAGCTTCAGATGGAAAAACAATTTATAAGTTAGGCAAGATTGTCCAGGAATATATTTGATCTGCATGGTTGCTGTATGAAAAATCATAACAATGAGCTGCAACTATATAAAATAAAATACTAATTTAAAAAAACCAAATAAAAACTAATTTTTATTTGGTTTGTTAAAAAGTGGCAAAAATTTTAAAGCAATGTTGCAGTAAATAAACTGATGCTTTTCACATTCTACTTTATTAGAATTTTAAAATACCCTGGTGGGTACTGAGTTAATAAAATGGAATGAGTATGAAGAATTGAATCCTACCTTTGTTATGAAGTGCTGAGTTTTGTCATTGGTGGCAAAAGACAAATAGCAAGGTCTTATAAACTTAATATTATAGTATCTTAAAGCAATATTATAAACCAAATAAATCACATCTATAAAAGAAATCTCTAGAAAAAAATCAGAAAATATATTATTCTAAACCTGGTTTCACCTGCTTGTGCTTCTCAAAAAGTGATTGTCTAATAAGTTACCTGTACATTCTAAAAAACCATTTTTGCTAACAGGTGTAATACCAGGATTTATGTTACTTTTCTAATTCAGCTGACTGTGCTTGTCTTTGCTGGTTGCTCAGTGCAGAAGTTTTAACAAACACTGAAAATAATTCTAGACTTTTGGGGTTTTTTGGTGGAAACACCATTTCTATGGAATTCATTCAAAGAATTCATTAATTTTAACTAACAAGTGTCAAAAAATGCACAGAGTTGGAGCAGACTCTTAAATTCTTTGTAAGATTCTGCAAGAATGTGATTAAAAAGCTGTATAAATTGACATATGTACGTATGCCATATGAAGTTTTGCTGTTAATCTACTTAAAGTAGAAATATTTTAACTGAAAGGTTGTATTTGGTTGAAAAATACTGTACAGTGTATTAAAATATGTTTAGAGATTAATTTAAACTGCAAGTTCACTTCTCTGTGGACCTTCCACTTGCAGAATAGTACATAAATATTTGCATTACTTTGTCTATTCAAAGTGTGTGACATTTGATGATATATACATTTCTCATAGTATTACTCAGCCTTAAAAAACAAAAGCAGATCTGAGATGTTTGAAAATACCAAGGACAAATATATGTCCTTGAAAACCTTTGACCATTCAATCCTGTACCCTCATTTGTGAAACATGCATAGGTGTTTGGGTACTGAAGGCATGTCTTAAGAATTTACATTATTTTATGAAGCTGATGGCATTTGTTCTGATCAGCTGAGACAAATCCACACAGGATAGCAACCCAAAAATACTCACAGGATAGCAACCCAAAACAGGAATAGCAACTCAAAATTGAAATCATATTCTGAGGCAGCAGACAGACCCCTGAAGAAGAGAAATAATGACTTTCTGTAAAAATGATGCTTCTTGCAAACTTTATTGATCTGAAATTTGGCCAGATCATGACACATGCTCACTTTTAACTTTTTCTGCAGTGTCATTTTGAGGTCTTTCTGAGGTCTGCTAGGTTTCCTTCCTATTGTATTTTCTATTAACTTACATTTTTCCAGACACTTTTTATCTGTTCCTCCCACAAGTTTTTTTCTTCAATTCCTTTTAAAAAAAATTACTCAATTTTCAAATGGACTTCTTTCCATTAATAATTAGTTTTCCTGTAGCTATTCCATGAATTTATAGTTAACTTTTTCCATGGTTAGGCATGGAAACATAATTATCACTGCTTTTTTGACAAAGATAAAATGATAATTCACATGCTCTGAATGGTGTCATTTTGCTTCAAGTGAAATGACAATTTCCTGTCATGAGGTCTGAGAACCTAAGACAGCAGGAAACTGGTATGAAGAGGTGGTGTCTCATTACCTTCCTGAGCTAGAGAAGAAATCTAATGTTACTTAATGATTTTCTTCTGTTTTACTATAAATTTTGAAATATATACATGGAAATGGCTTTAGAATGCACTTAAAGAATTGTTGGGACTTGCAGGCAGTGAAGAAAGCAAGAGGACACAAATAGAAAGCTCCATGTTCTGTGCTGTGCTGCAGCAAATGATTGACATCTTCAAAAAAACAAGGAAAAAGGCTGTTTAACCAGACAAGCCCTTAATGATTGTATATGGTGTCTTTGGAATATTAATAGCAGAAATTGCACTGTTACTAAGATGTATATATAATAAAGGATACTTGGCTGTGGCATCTTGAAAAAGTCTCCAGGCTCCTTGTTATGTCAAATGGAATGTTTATTTTAAAGAGGTGACAATGTAAGATAGGCCATGTATGTATAAAAAGGGGGATTAGCCCTCTTACAAAAATGTGTTCATCTGTTGAGAATGCATTAAAAGTTACAAATAAAAAGAGGGGAGGGGGCTACTTCTGTCTCAACAGGTTAGAAGGGCTAATAATACCAGTTGCTGGGCTAACTTTCTAAACAGCTGGGGACAGAAGGAAGCACAATCTGTGTTTCCACCCTTCCCGCCTGCTAATTTCAAGATCCTGTCCTGAGAAGCAACATCATTTATTACATTTAAGACCTAGACATTTGGTGGTAGGTATCATCTTTTTGAAGTTTTCCATTCTGTTTCTTGCTGATTTTCTTATTTATATTTGTTTTGAAATATTATTCTTGATTCTCTCTCCAAGCATGCTTAAATTCAGGAAAGGTTCCCAAACAGAAAGCTGTTTGTGTCTTGTTATTGCAGGTGCCATAATATGCTTCCTGCTGATGTCTTCACAATTTTGCCACCTGAAACATTGTATTAAGTTTGGTTGGGAAGGTTTTGGGACACACATGCACATGATGGTGGCTTCTGTCATAAGATGCTAGAAACTCCCTCTGACTCAAATTGTAGAGAACTTCCTTCCTAAAAATGTGATCAGTTTGAAGCCTAGTGTTGGAAAATACGGTGTCTGGAAAGAAACATGGCAAACACAGACCAGTCGTCCATGGCAAGCAGCAGACTGAGGGCTGACCATCCCACTTTGCCTGAAGTGCCATACAAAACTTCATGTGGCAGAAGAGGAGACTCCTGATAGAAGGAAGGTGTGGAAACCTCGGGTGTGGCAACAGGTTTCCTTGTTTTCTATTTCAGTGTAGCAGTTTACAGTGTACCATCAGGACAAACACAGAGCCAAGCTGAAACTGAGTGCCTGTATGACAGGATATCTAGCCAGGCACTTGCTGATTAAAGCTTGAGGAAAGCATGTCTTGTCCCACTTAAGTCCTGCTTGTTATGTTCTGTGGAGATGAGATGACCTGATTTCTTTTAAGCCTGAGGTGGGAAATAGATGCAAACTTATATTGCAAAATGGAGTCCAATTTTTATTCCAATCCAGTGTATTTCACAGGTACAGTATGTTCCATGCATGACTATACTGTATGCAGTCAGGGATATACTTTCACATTGATATTGTTGAAATCATGTCCTGCTTATTTACATTTGCACAATACTGGTACAGTCAGGGGATTAAGGCATTTCTAGAATACAAAACATCTTGGGACTAAAATATGAATGCTCCTTCTGTTTAAACTTTTTTTAAAATCCAGCTGTGAAGGGGAATTTTTCTGTAGCTTTTTCTGTATTTTAAGTGTCCTAGATCATCTCCGGACACCAAATATAGCTGTCTTGTTATAAATTCATAAAAAGTCTGTGAGCATCTACACAGCTGATGAAGGTGTTTCATAGTTGAAAAACCTGGTCTTACACTGATCAATCTGTTCCATGAGTCACTGGTCCATACAATTGGAAGAAATCAACCTTTTTAAAACGGCTCACACAATTAATTTGGTGCACACTCTCAATTCTGGCAAAGCAAAGCAATACCAAATAGCTATGCTTTAATTTCTTGCCCTGCATTCATTCATAAGCTGCCGGCAGCAAAAGCCATTCTGACAACACTAAATTTCAGCTATGTATTAGTCAGTTTCTTTCTATTTCTTTTCCACAGATCCACTGGGACTATCTGCCTAGCAGAAGCTTTAACAAATAAAGACAGCACGAACTTTGCGAGGGTAGAAGGACCTCTAAACTCAGCCTGGATCAGCGTTCATTTCTCAGACCTCTTCCTTCATCGTTTTAACCTGACAAGACCCTCCTTTTACTGGGTTGGTTTTTTTGCTGGGCCGGTCAGCGCGGGCTTCGGGCTACCGCCAGTAAGTATCGGCCGTCGCTGCCAGCATTAAAAAAGAAAAGTGGATCTGCCAGCACTGCTGCCCGGGTGCCACGACTCGACTCGGCACGGCGCGGCTCGGCCGTGCTGCCGATCGCCGGCCAGGCCGCGCCGCGGTTGGCGGGTTTGAATTGGCGGGCGCGGCGCCGGGGGCGGAGCGCGGGCGGAGGCGCCGCCGGCCGGCAGGGGCGCTGCTGGCGGCGGGGCGGGGGAAGCGGAGCGGCGGCGCTGCCATTCCCCGGCTGCGCGGCCGCCTCCTCCCCTCCGCCTCTTCCTGGCCGCGGCCAGAGGAGCTGTGCTGGCAGCGGGGAGGCGGCGGCGGCGGCGCCCAGCTCCCGGCCCGCCATGGCGATCCGCAAGAAGAGCAACAAGAACCCGCCGGTGCTGAGCCACGAGTTCATCGTGCAGAACCATGCGGACATCGTGTCCTGCATGGCCATGATCTTCCTGCTGGGGCTCATGTTCGAGGTGAGGCGGCACCGACGCCCCTGCCGGGGGTCCTCTTCCCTCTTCCTCCCACTCCGCCGGAGGCTCTCGTTGCTGGAGGGGAGGGAGGGCGCGGGAGTGCCGCGGCAGCGGGGGATGCTGTGCGGGCTGCGGCGGAACCCTGCGGCTGCTCCCCTCGGCGCCGCCGCCCCCCGGCGCACCTGCCCGCCGGCCCACGCCCGAGCCGCTGTACGCGGGGACAGCAGCCGACCCCCGCCCCGCCGCGCCGCCCGAGAGCCGCCGCGGGCGCCCGCCCTCCCCGCGGCGCATTCCCGCTTCCCCGGGCGGAACGCCCTTCTCCCGCCTCGGCTTGGGCAGGCGCAGCCGTGGCTGCCGCCGGGACCGGGTCCCGCTCCCCGGCGCGGGCGGGAGGCCGTGCGGGGCCGGGAGCGGGCGGCGCAGTTGCTGCGGGCGGGCGGGCGGGCGGCGGGGTTACGTGGCAGCCGGCGAGGGAGGGAGGAGTGCGCGGCACGGCGGGGAGGGGGCGGGGGGCGAGGCCCGGCCGCCACAGCCGATCCCCCGCTCTTTGTGTGCGCGGCCCCGCCGGGCCCCGCCGGCACTACGGCTCCCGGCGGGCGGCGCGGCGGGGAGGGAGGGAAGGGAAGGGAGAGCAGCGGTGACGTGTCCTTAGGGCCGCCGCTCCGCTCCCCCTACCCGCCGAGCATCCCGGGGCTCCCGGCCGCTCCGGGCGCCCTGCGGCTGGGCTGGGCTGGGCTGAGCTGAGCTGAGCTGGGCACCCCCGCCGTTCTCCCGCCTCGGAGACGCGCCGAGGTCTGGCAGCGGCGGAGGGGAGCGCTCCCTCCGGCCTGAGGGCCGGCCCTGCTGCAGGCCCTCCGCTCTCTGGGCCCCCATGTTGAATGCAGATGCTTTAAACCGCGCCTTTTTGGCGCTGGAAAGGTAACTCACCTGCGTGACTGCCAAAACGCTATCACTGATCTAAGATCACTGATCATCAAATTAAGACGGTGTTGACGAAATGTTTCTGGTGTTCTAGGCATTTGTTCGGACATTTATTTCAGACATTTGTTAAGGGTTGTGGACCTTTCTGTCATGGTTTTCAGGATGGTTTCATCCAGCTGTTGGTACAGCTCAGCACTAAAAGCCAGTGGAGTTAGGAACAAGATAGATAGATAGATAGATAGACAGAAAGAAAGAAAGAAAGAAAGAACAGGGCAGACCAGCTACACTGTTGGTTTTGGGTTTGCTATCAAAAATCACCAAGACAACTGTTATATGGTGATTTCCTGAGGAATGAAGTTAAAGAGGTAAACCTAAACTGTTTCCTTTTGTGCTTACATCAGGCTTACTGTATTAACAGTATTACTGGTAGGGGTAGAGGTTTTGAGGGATTGAATGTGCTGAATTCTTTTGTTTCCGGATTTTTTAACCTACTGTGTTTTCTAACCCAGTGTAAAAAGGCTATGTGTCGTTGTTGGTACAGATGTGGTATGTTGCAATTTTTAAATGCTTTG